AACGATAACACACATCATCAACATCAACAACAACATCAACAACAACGTCAACATCAATAACATCAACAACAACATCAACAACAACAACATCATCGACAACATCAACAACAACAACGTACAGATATGAATACGGTAGTTAGCAACTTATTAGGCAGAGATTTCGAATCATAAGGATTGAAGTTATCGGATTTTAGGCAGTCTGGCTGTAGGACGTAGCCACACTTACCATTCATTTGAAATCTACCCTCGTTCAATTGCATTGACCGATCTGTTGTTTGTGTTGTTGTTGTCGTTGTTTGTGTTGTTGTTGTCGTTGTTTGTGTTGATGTTATATTGTTGTTGATGTTGTTGTTGTGGATGCTGTTGATGTTGTTGCTGTTGTTGTTGTGGTTGTTTGTGTTGATGTTATATTGTTGTTGATGTTGTTGTTGTGGATGTTGTTGTTGTTGTTGATGTTGTTGTTGTGGATGTTGTTGTTGACGTCGGCAACGATGTTGTGAATGAGTTTGGTTGGCGATGTTATTGTTTGTTGGTCAATTCAGTAATGATGAGGTACATTCGTTGTTTATGCTGATTGTTATTATTATTAATATTATGATTATTATTATTATTATTATTGTTATTATTATTATTATCATTATTATTATTGAACGCACCCCCCGTCTGATAGTTGAGGGCTGCCATGTGGCACCCAGAATTCCACATGGGCATTGGATCGTAATTGGACGAGTCTATCCTCTGACCTGTTCGTAATAATAATAATAATAATAATAATAATAACAATAATAAGAATAATAATAAGAAGAAGAAGAAGAAAAAGAAGAAGAAGAAGAAGAAGAGGGGGGAAGAAGAATAAAAAATAATTATTAATAATATTGCCATTAACATAAATTGATGACATCTTCACAGCTAAACTCAGATGGAACCGAAATTACTTTTTGCACAAGTTAGTGATGTTGTCATGAAAGATGTTAGTTAGGCAGAAATGAAATCAAAACCAAAAGTGGATTTTCAATCAACGATAGCACCTTTAAGAAGATAGACCTAAAAAAAACTAAAAGTGACTTTAAGGTTACCGGCCCCTACCTTTGGGGTAAATTCTAGTCAGGCATTTTCTATTGGCTTGCACTAAAGTTCGGACTTGCTGATTGGCTTGCGAAGTTTTATCAAAGATTCGTGTTTCCGGTAGGGAGAACATTTCGTAGTAGTTGATGCGATTCGAGATTACTGATTGGTTGATTGATTGATTGATCAGTAGGTTGGTTCATTGGCTGGTTTATTGATTGATTGGTTGATTGGTGGGCTGTATGGTTAAGTGATTGATTTGTTGGTTGGTTGGTTGAAACCTTTTTCTTCGCTATATTTGACGGGTTGACAATAAACGATAAGGTCTGAAAATTCTTTCGCTATGTTCAAACTTCGTTCCTTCGTGTGGATCTCTTGAATCTGAAAAATTAAAATTTATTTTCAATCACTGAGTCAATCAATTATACTACCAATCAACTAGTCAATCAACTAATCAGCCAACCAATCAACCAAACATACAATCAGCCCACCAATCAACCAACCAGCCAACCAGACAACCAACCAATCAGGCAACCTGTTTCTCAGCAGTCCAGCTACATTCTCTGATCTTAGCAATCCATTCCTCCATCTCCGCCTCACTCCTCGCTCCCAGCTCCAAGGGTTTGCTCGAGTTGGGGCTGATGATCCGGAAGATGAAGTAATTGTTCACAGAACGCTTTGAAGATATCCGGTCTATTATATAAACCAAATAATTAATCTTTTTAGTTTCACAAACAGGATTTGAACCAGGGAACTTTGCAACAACAAACAGAGACGACTTTCATCTCTCATCCTGCCTGAGCTAACTTGCTAACCAACAGCAATATGGCATCATCATCACCACCACCACAACATCATCATCATCACAACATCATCATCACCACCACCACAACATCATCATCATCACAACATCATCATCACCATCATCACATCATCATCATCATCTTCAAAGCAGCAACGACGACCACAAACTGACCGACTGTGACGCCAGCAAGGTCGACGTATCCCTGCTGCAGCCTGCCAAGTGGCGCGTCGTTCCTATCGTCGTCCTCGTCGTCCACTTCCTCTACGAAATTGGCCGGAAACCACCCTTGCTTCTGAGTTCCGTGGTCTCCACGCCACCTGTGTGTGTATATGTATGTGTGTGTGTGTGTGTGTGTGTGTGTGTGTGTGTGTGTGTGTGTGTGTGTGTGTGTGTGTAAGTGTGTAACAAACCAATAACGTATATTTGTAGAAACTAGAAACAATAACTGAACCCCCAACGGAATGACAAACGAACGAACATCTGCAAACACCGACAGGCATTGCAAAGTGAAATTAGGTAAACTTGCAGAAGGGTACCAACCAGTGCCCGTCCTCTTTTTGAACGTTAGTGATGATAGCGTTCTTGCAGAAGGTCAACTCGTCATTACGCTGGCACTTGTAATCGAACAAGGCTTTCACTTTGCACTGTCGCGACGGAAAGATGAATGAATGATCGACTGAATGATTAAATGAATGAACGAATGAATGGATAAATGAATGAATGAATGAATAAATGAATGAATGAATGAATGAATGAATGAATAAATAAATAAATGAACGAACAAACGAATAAATGAATGAATAAATGAATGAATGAATGAATGAATAAATGAATGAATAAATGAATGAATAAATGAATGAATGAATGAATGAATGAATGAATGAATGAATGAATGAATGAATGAATGAATGAATGAATGAATGAATGAATGAATTTTATTATGGTCATCCTGCTTTCTTTAAATTTTTCAATTTTGAGAAACAAATAAAATTTCGTTTCGTTTCGAATGAATGAATATATGAATGAACGAAAGAATAAACGTATGTAATGATAACATTATTATCACCATAAATAACCTGATTGGACTCAATGTCATTGGGGCTTTGGTAGAGATCGTTCGATTGATATATACAGTCTTTATTTGGGGCCTAGCATTGAAATTATTATTATTATTATTATTACTGAAATTATTAATTATAATATTATTAATTATAGTAATATAAATAATAAAAAACATAAACAAGCGATAACGCGGAAACACACACTCTAGTGTACAAATATACAAAGACGTACATACATACATACATACATGCAAAGAAACAAACAAACCCACAAATACAGACATACAGCATTCACTTACACCCATACATAATACGCACGCATACATACGCTTACGCACACACAAACAAACATACACACACAAACAAACACACACACACACAAACTAACTAACATAGCATACATACGCACACAATCACACATACAAAGAAACACACACACACACAAAGAAACACACACACACACACACACACACACAAACTAACTAACTAACATTTCCTAATTCCCTAATGAGTTGCTCGGTGGCCGCGTACACCAACTTCATCTTCTTGTACAGTGGGTGCTTCTTGTAATAGTTCACTAACTCCACTAACGATTCGAATGGGGCATTGCCTTTGATTTTATTATTATCATTATTGTTGTTGTTATTATTATTATTATTATTATTATTAGTAGTAGTAGTAGTAGTAGTAGTAGTAGTAGAAGTAGAAGTAGTAGTAGTAAAAGTAGTAGTAGTAGTAGTAGCATTATCACTGTTATGCTTTCTGTAAGATTATACATGCTATTTACGAATACATGCTTCAAATAGGCTCATACATTCTGTATATACGCTTTTTACATGTTGTAAATATGTAGCTACAAAAATGATAACCAATGATGAAACATCTGTCCTCTTGCTTTATTCTGCAGTGCTTCACCTTGCCTTCTGATCTGTTAAACGTTAGATGCAGTCGATATTTCATTTCATCCAATAACAACTTCATCAATCAACCAGTCCTAATCAATCAGTCCTAATCAATCAATCAACTAACTAACCAACCAATCAGCCAGCCAGCCAACCAACCAACCAAACAAACAAATAACCGATCAACCGACCAACCAACCGAACAATCACTCCTCCCAATCCAACCTGAACGAAATAGCATATTGGGACGGATCGGGATCTCTCTGATTGGGCACACGTTTTCTGACCAGGAACACGCCATCCGCCTGGATCCTGCTCAGTTTATCTTCAGCCTCCTCTCTACTCAGAGAATCATAGTACCATCTGCGCGTGTGTTTGTAGCGTGTGTGTGTAGTTTGTGTGTGCGTGTATGTGTGCGTGTAAGATGCGAATGTAAGTTTAGTTTTTCAAATTCTCAATTTTTTTCACATCATCCTTATCTATTCATTCACTCATTTGTCGATTCACTCACTCACTCACTCACTCACTCACTCACTCACTCACTCACTCACTCACTCACTCACTCACTCACTCACTCACTCACTCAATCACTCACTCACTCACTCATTTTTATCGATTCATTTTCGCTCACTCACTCACTCACTCTCACTCATTCTCACTCACTCGCTCACTCACTCACTCTTTGTCGGCATGTGAGAGCGGTTGTGGCACGGCTAGCGTCAGCGTTTGATTGACGTCATGACTTTTTAATGGACTCGTCTTGTAGTGTGAGATGAGATTGTAGAGGCTGTTGAATAGTTTCTGCTCTACCAGGTAGTACATGGTTTGACCTCGATCGTGTCGAGACTTTATTCGACAGTGGTTGGCTTTGCCTTTGTATCTGTGCGTGTGTGTGTGTGCGTGTGTGTTTCTATGATAGTGTGTGTGTGTGTGTCTGTGTGTGTATGATAGTGTGTGTGTGTGTGTGTGTGTGTGTGTGTGTGTGTGATGGTGTGTGTTTGTAGGTTCCTTGCGTGCGTGCGTGTGTGTGTGTGTGATTTGTGTTGTCTATTTTTTGTATTTTTTTTATAAACAACGGCAGAAACACATTCACTCACATTAACACCAACGACAGAAACAAACAAACCTACACACACGAACAAGCAAACTAATCACACAAACAAACACACAGACAAACCAACACACAAACAAACAAACAAACAAACAAACAAACAAACAAACACACAAACAAACAAACAAACAAACTTACAAAAACGACAAACTGAAATCCCCAACGAACGTGTCACTCTCCCTGACGAGAAACAATCCATCGCCCAGATAGGAGTACTCCATCAATAGCTTCTCCGCCTCCAGCCTGCCACCTGGCAACTTTTTGTGGAACCACTCCTCATAGAAATGTAATTCTTCTGTTGTTTCCTACATGTGTGTGTGTGTATGTGTATATACATGTGTGTGTGTTTGTGTGTATATACATGTGTGTGTGCGTGTGTGTATGTGTGTGTGTTTGTCTGTATGCGTGTATCTTTCTTTGTGTGAAAATCCTTTTTTCGGCCTTGACATTATCGTCGTCACCACCAACATCATCATTTCGCTTTCTCGTCATCATCATCGCCATGAACATCACCCCTCATCATCATCGTCGTTATCATCATCACTCTCACCGCATCATCATCATCATCGTTATCGTCACCATCATCATCATCATCACCCCAACCAGATTGGAGCTGGAGGATGAAGACGGACTGTTACCCTCCTCCATTCCGTCATCCATGCTATCCTGGCTTTCCTCGAAGTTATCACTATTGGTACGCTCCGTGTAGTGCAGGCGGGTCAGCGAGAGCATGAAAAAGTGGCTGTACCATTTCTGTTTAGAAGGAAGGCCAAGTTGGACGGTTCGGTAAATAGTCAATGAACGAATGATTGGAAAAATGAATGAGTAATTGAATGAAAGAATGGATTGAAAAATGAATCAATCAATCAATCAATCAATCCACGATTGGAGGAATGAATGAGTAAATGAATGAACAAATGACTGATTGACTGAATGAATGTTGAACTTTCAATTGTAATTATAATTACAATAATGAATTTAATTAATCAACCATCATATTAGAGTTAGAGTTAAAATTAAGGACCAAGTCTTTCATTAATGAACGTGTATTTAAGGCTATCGCAAAATTTTTGAAATTCTCAATACAATAATCAATGGAATCTGTCTTGAACGGGCACCATGATTGTACCAAACGTTGGTTTGCATTAAAGCTTCAATGAAGCTGCTTGGCTGACTTCAATGAAACTTCAATGAAGCTGCTTGGCTGGCTTCAATGAAGCTTCAATGAAGCTGCTTGGCTGGCTTCAATGAAGCTGCTTGGCTGGCTAACTTCCGCCAAATAAAACCAAATTTTATAATAAATGAATAGACTGAAAACAATAGAACCAATGACGACAAATTAGCAAGCAAGAACATCAGTTCAGTTGAATAAAAATCATGCGGGGTGCATAAAAAAACCTTATCGTTGGGATCCTCCATGTACAAGATGTCGTTCTTTATTGAGTTGGCAATGTCAGTTTCCGACATAATGGCTGTGTTTTTACGTGAGTGCGTGTGTAACGTACAGTGTGTGTGTGTGTGTGTGTGTGTGTGTGCGTGCGTGCGTGTATATGTGTACGTGTGTGTGTATGTGTTCTTAATTCTTCGTAATTTATTTACAGCAATTAAATTAAACAAAAATCAATTACTCTAAATTGCTTAAATTAAAAATCAACATTTGAAAAACATTTTTAATGAGATTTTTTAACTAAAACCAAACAAAATTATAAATTATTTATTTTTCAAACAAAATTTTTAAAAATGGGCAAAATTAATATTATAATATTGGCAGGCAGAACTAACTCTCATCAGTTTTAACGTAGCCCAGCGTATCGCCTTCAGGTAACTTTTTGTGCTGTCAACAAAAAACAGTTGTGTATTGCTAAGTATTATTCTGTCTGTGTGTGTGTATATATATATATATATATATATATATATATATAGATATATTTATACATATATATATATAACTGTATGTATGTGTATACGTATGATAAAGTTGTATAGCAGTATGTGTGTACGTATGAGTGGATGTGTGCTTTTAACGAAATTAACGCTACAATCTTGTATAGCTGTGTGTAAAGGCGTGAGTGTGTGTGTGTGAAAGATAATGTATGCGTGGTTGTGTGTGTGTGTGTGTGTGTGTGTGTGAGAGAGAGAGAGAGAGAGAAAGAAAGAGAGTGAAAGAGAGAGAGATAGACGTTACCAACAGCACAACAAACAAACCATTCGTCAACCAATCAATCAATAAAACCAAACGACATAACAAACAAACAAACAAACAAACAAGCAGACATACAAACAAGCAGACATACAAACAAACAAGCAGACAAACAAACAAACAAACAAGCAGGCGCCCACCTTGATGATGATTTTCCTTTTTAGCTGGTTGGGCGAAGGCAGGGCTGAGTTGTTATTGTTGAGAGGTTCCATTAGTAGGTCTTCACCAAAAATGTCCTTGAAACCTATTGCCATGTTTCGCTGGTTGCTGATCGAACAGTGGTTCTCGATCGATAATATAAGAGGATATCTGGTCGGTTGGTTGGTTGATCGGTTGGTTGGTTGATCGGTTGGTTGGTTGATCGGTTGGCTGATTGGTGAATAACTAATTAACTGATTGATTGATTGGATTGATTGATTGATTGGATTGATTGATTGACTGATTGACAAGTTATTGATAGATACAAGTGACTAGTTTTAACGATTGGAAATTTGAAGTCTTAAAAAAATGTACGTCCAAGTAACAAAAATCGAGGAGAACAATAACGGCACGTAATAATAACAATAAATAGTAATAAATAATAATAAATCATAAAAAAATAATAAAAAATAATAATAAATCATAATAAAAATAATAAAAAAATAATAATAAATCCTACAAAATGATAAAAACTAACTCAGAGGCAACCCAGGCATTTTCTTTGATGGCCTTCAATACATCCATAAATCTTTTTCATGTAAAACGAGTTATTATTATTATTATTATTATTATTATTATTATTATTCAGTAACTCACTCCAACCTACTTAACATAATATATGTAGCAATTTAGCCCGACCTAATTAG